TATTTTTTAATTAATTAATAAAAAAATTTTATAATATTATAAATAAAATTATTTATTTATTATAATAAAATTTTGAATTATTATATTATTTTAAAAAATATATTTGTATATATAGAATCTTTACTATCAAATTTTTTTTAAAAAATAGATTTATTATAATTTTCTTAATAAAAAGTTTGTATAACAATGACTTGTAAGGTCATTTTGCTAGCAAAGATCTTATAAGATAAAGTTTATCTAGATTAATTAAAACTTGCTTAAGTAGTATAAAATTAGATAATTTGATTGATTAATTTATATAAATTTATAAATTAATTTTATTATATAGTTTTATAAACTAATATTTAAAAATTTATATCTCAATGAGTTTTTATTCAATTTTAATAATTTTATTATTATTAGAATTAGAAAGACTTACTATCCAACTTTTATATAAGAATTAAAAATTATTTACTTAATATATTTTTTCAAAAAATTAGATATAAAAAAAACTGTAAAATTTGCAACTAATTATTATTATGATCTAAAATAAGATTATCAATATTTCATTTAAATTAGATCACATAATGAAATAATAATATATAGTAATTATTAGATATAACACATATATAGAGTATAATTAGTAAATATAACATAATTAGTATAATTAGTAGATGTAATATAATTAATGTACTTAGTAGATGTAACATAATTAGCATAATTAATAGATGTAATGAATGTAATGTATTTTACATAATTAGTGTAATTAGCATATATAGTGTAATTAGTGCAATTAACATATAGAGAAAAAGTATATAAGTAATGCATTTATAATGTAAAGAATGAAAGTCTCACAGTATAGCTAATAAAGTAATACTTACCTGTAGTACTTACCAAATCCAACACCTCTTTTGAGTACTAGCATGACCATTGTTATATAAGAGGCTTTTGCTTACCCTATGAATAAGGATTTTCATAGTCTATATTTTCTATATCGTGACATTATATATAAAAATGATCAATGTTGTACTTTACCCTTAAATTTTTAAAAATAAACTGGATAGAAAATTAAGATAAATATTAAATTTTGTAAAGATAAATAATAGTTAAAAAAAGCATTAAGATTTTTATCAAAATATTTCTTTTATATAAAAAAATTATACAAATTGCTCTTTTAAAAACAATAATATACAGTACAAAGATGTTAAATGATATGTTCTAGTAAGGTTCAAACTGTAAAATAATCTGTTTAAGCAGAGCTTAACTAATAGAGAACAGTTTGGTTTTAGCTGAGACAGATAAGTTTGATGCATAATTTTGTATTATTCTTAAAATTATTTAAGATATGGTTTAAAATTATTAGTGTATATCGAGTTAATATTTAACCAATTAAATATGTGAAAATATGTGATTCAAATTAAAATTTGGTGCTTCCAGCTAAGGACCAATTCCACCAATTAGCCCATATGGAAATTTTTTCGTCAGAGTTGATGCCACTCATGTGCTGCGTAGCAACAGATGGAAGTGTCATTAACTCCAATGAACAAATACGCTGTTATTTTCGTATGACCAATATCTTATACTTGCTCATTGTTAAAATTAAATCAATAATACTTACTATAATACTTACTATAATGAATAATTGATACGAATCATATTAATAATCATTAAAATAATATGCGAAATAATACCAACCGTCTGGATCATGTGATCTTGGCCAATAACTTTTCGGGTTCACACCATATCTGGTTGGCAGACTATCTTCATGCGAATTTTTATGTAATCATCAAAAGCAGAATTTTATGATCCATGTGGCAGTGCAAAATTACATAGTGATAGAATAGTATAATGTTATATTTGACCGACCAGATCACTTAATGACGAATAACAAAAATGTTTATGATAACTAGTTAACAGTAAATAAGTATTAGGGGCTTTATTTTTGGACATCCAAGCTTTTTTTTATCTCAAAAATGTATGCATTTATGTAAAAATTAGTTCTAAACTTTAATAGATAAAATTTGCGTTATTAAAGGTTAACTTTCCTTCGAGTATCCACTAGATTTTAAAACATAGGCGGGTAAAAACACCAAACGGGTGGAATATAAAGTGTGTATGAATTTATTTTGGAAACATCATAGATTAATTACTATTTAAGGATATTATTTTATAACGAAATATGGATTAAATCATCGTCAAAAATTTTCGAATCAGACAAATTAAGAATTATTTAATATTTTGTAGCCATTTATGAAAAAAAACTATATTGTTTCGGATAAATATAAATAAATGTGTGGATGGGCGAAAACCAAAAATCAATTGTTAGTGATTTCCTGTGGTCAATAGCTACTTGAATAATAGCGAGAAATTGAAATATTCACAAGCAATGATTCACACAATATTTTTTGTGATTTTGATAATGATGTGTACTATCATCTGTTCCACCTTAGCAGAAGAAACAAATTTCACAAGTTGCACCGAATATCTTTGGACTGTAAAGAATCCAGTGACAGCTACCATAAAGTTCGATGATCCAGGATTAAAAGGTAGTTTCTCTCTGTATGATAACATGGAGGATAGTGGAACTCAGATATCCGGACGTTTTGTTCGAGGAGTAAAGTTGAACAAACCTCAATTGTACAAATTCACTGCTCATATACATTCTACATGTGATAAGATTCACGAAAATAAATTTTTCGAGTTTGATGTGAGTCATAGTTTCTTGCCTAAAAAGTTCAAGGCTATTACTGATAGAAAGTTTGAGGCGTTTAAAACCACTTCGTTTAGTTGGTACTTTGGTTCCTCTATTCCTATTGCAGTTGTGATACATTATAAGCCATCAAATACATCAAAGACTTGGCATGTTAAATCGGTACACCTTTTTTTCGTTCGTGTTTTTAAGTAAGTTTTGACATTTTCTCACAACTTTTTTTGTTTGATTCTAGTGCGCCAACTTGGTTGTGAAAAATAAACGTAAGGATAGAAAGGGTGGTAAAATCTCGATAAAAAATAATAAAGATAAAACTTCGGCAAGAAATAAAAATAAATCACGAAGAACTAAAGACCATTATAAAGAACTTCCAAATTCAAATCCATCTCAAGTCGACGAATATATTGTTGTAGAAGTAACAGATGACTTTACAGTATATTAATTAGTGGAATTTTCTTGTCAATCTAAGCATGCGCAAATTTTACCTTATCACCTGAAGCGAGGCAAAACTAGATCCTGCAAGCAAGATGAATAAACTGTAAAAATAATTAATCTAGATCCGTGACCAGATACATTAATCTAGTAGTATTTAATAATTATACCATACTACTTTATGATTATTTAGTAGTTAAGGAATAAAATATTCGTGATTTTTTCTGTATTAATAGCATCACTACAGAAGTCATGAATATTTATTCTTGACTGTACATAGCACTATATATTCGCTTAATTTATAAGTTTCCATAAAATAATTGAAAACAATGACAATAATGCTATATTTTGTATTTAATTTATAACCAAAAGTAGTGTTTTATATTTTAAATGTGAATAACTGCTCGCAGATTAATTAGATATAGATATATATGTATACGTATTGAAATAATAATCTCAAAATAAATAGTGAATAAAAGTGTGTATTGCATTGACGTTAATGTTAACCTCTTTTGCGTAAATTTGTGGCTGCATGATTATATAAACCTTGGGTAAGATTGTAAATTTAAGAAACATGTTAGCAGCTTGGAACTCAAATTAGAGGTATGTGTTGTGAATCTTTCTGAACTTGCTTCATGAGGAACGTTAGCATTTTCCATTTCTTGATATATATTGTGTAAAAGGCTAAGCTTAATTTATTACAGTATGTATAGCTATAAATGTGTATTAGCAATTCAACTGGACATTATATTATGACTATGTCTTATTCTAGAGGCTTCACAGTAGTAGTGACCCAAATCGTTAGTTGAAAAATCTTTAGTTTGACTGGCTAATCAACAAATTTAGTCACATGATATGAAAATCTAGAACTATATATAGTTAGCAACTAATCGATTGGCCAAAATTTTTACATGTTGGTAGAATTTATAGTAATATTAGATGATTGTAATTTAAAAAAATCATTTAAAATTCAAGATTTAGATGATTTGGTACCTTCCAACATCAACCCGAAATTTTGGAGATTGCCCTGTAGACAATCCAGATTATCTATAATTGGAGATGTTCAATATTAGCATTTACGTATTTGCTTTCATTCTAATAAGTGTTAAATATTTACATACAGATCCTAAATAGACAAAAAATAGTAATAATTGTACTAATCATCTAATGTGCATATGGTTAGGATGTAGGTTTGATATAAGATAAATTTTACTCAAAATTCCAATTTAACTCAAGTTCTAAATCTACTCAAATTCCGTTCTCAAAACATATGTCTTTTGATTTGACCACGTTACATATATCTTTAACGTCAGATTTTTTACATCTTTCGGTATTATAATAAACTTGTTTTATGTATTTTGGAATCAAATTTTTTGAACTGATGTATAAATAATAAACTTATACATTTTTTAGCATTTAATTTCGATTTGATACATAAATAATAAACTGGTTTGGTATTTATTGAAATTAAATTTTGGATATATTTATATATAGAGCGAATCTATTTGTGAAAGTCACCGATTGCACGACCGGAATGTGTGACAGGTAGGGTTGTAAAATTTATTAATAAGTTACCAAAATGGTAAGTTACTTGGTAAGTTACTGTAAGTACTTTATTCCGAAAGTCTCCGTGTTTCATGTCCGTTAATTGCCAACTATTCCGAAATTTTCTGATAATGTTCGGACTTTCAAATGAGTATTTGGTATACCATGGCGGACTTTAACTAGGTCTAGGGATGGCTTATTACGTAAAAAAATCAAATCACATTATGCGACAATTTACTAATATTATATACTAACATGCTAAATTGGCGCATAGTGCGATTTAACTTTTTACGTAATAAGCAATTGCCTTGCCCATCTCTAGGGATGGCACCTGGAAAATGTGTACCAGGTTGGGTCCGGATGGTCGTCCGGATAATTAGATCAAAATTACAGTATAGTATTATCGAACTATAACGCTAAAGAAATTACGTATTCATTACCGTTACGTTTTACATTAATTTATGCAAAAATTAAAATTTACGTAATAAATATTTCTAAGCTTAAGCTACAATATAAATTAGAAACTAACGAACTATTGAATGTATTGAATCTACTTACCCCACTTCAACGAATACTTATACCGGCCTACAAATATTGAAGTTACGATGAATTAGAACCTAAAATCATTTTTAAAAGCGCGATAGTTGAAAACATTAATATTAAAGAACATAGATGCTTGAAGTGAGTTCATGGGTTTCAAGAAAAGTCAACAACGCGATACACCTGATCAGAACTTATCCAGTTAAAGGGATCAAAGTCATTTTTTAAAGGGATGAGATAGTAATTTTAGTAAAGCCAAAAATTAATAAATATGAATAAACCCACATAATTTAAGAAATAGAAACACGAATTGTTTTACGGCATTGAAGTTAAAAACTTATATAATTTGTCAAGAAAAAAGAAAAACAACCCAAATTAGCAATTAAAAAAAATTTTTTTGAGTGTCGAAAGTGAAAGTCTGTACATTGTATAACGTTATAAAGCATATGGAATATTGTTTTATTTAATTGAAAAAGCTTTGTATTAATAAGAAAATTTTATACGGTCTCAACTCTTTCTATAGCGAATTGACGGTGAAAAAAAAGTTCGTTATAAAAATCGCTATGTTTTATCAAGAACCCATGACCGAACTATTGTGAAATTTAAATATTTAAGTTCAATGCATTCAGAGTCGACTGGATATATAATATATGTGGTTTTTTTTTAATCAACAAAATCTTTGGGATTTTGTAATCTATCGCTGTAGCGACACATCGCTAGTCCCCATCATGTGATTACCGTTGTATAGTATTATTAAAATTTAAAAAAAGAACCTTTGTATTTTATAATTTCTCGCTATAGTGATTTGTTGCTAATATAATAAATAATATACAAAAGCCCAAGTAACATGTGATTGTGCTAATAAAATCGGTAAATGTATTGGTTGGTGACACAACGCTATGGTAACAACAAATGATGAAAAAATAAAAAATTATTGATCAAGATCAGACCTGATAAAATTGAGCATTGGGTTACCTACTTATTTAAAAATTATTACCAGGGTCATTTTGAACAATCCAATTGACCTGATTAAGAAAACATAAATTAGTTATAGTTTATTTAATAAGTGTAATGGCCAGATAGTTCATATACTCGTCAATTTTTTGCAAACCATTCAACAAGATCATAGAAATAAAGAGCAAAATCTCTTCTTCAAATCTTGTAGTTTATCAAATGAAATTCATTTAGTCAATATATTATATGCAAGAGCTCTAAGTTGAAATGCTTTTATGCAATTATTAATATTCTTATTCATGCTTGTTATTTTTTGTTGCTATGTCAGAATCATCATGCTTTATCATGTAATATTTGCTATAATGTGTACAGTTTCATATTTAATTCTGAATTAAAAGAAGTGATAAAACAATTTTCTTGGTTGATGAAAAAATAATTAAGTATTTAAGTGTTTTTGATTGTTTAAATTCTTTTTATAATCATAAAATATTAAGATTTGCCTCTTTTATATAATTTTGTAAATAATTTTTGTACTTATTAGCTAAATAAATTATTTGTATATGATGTCAAATAAGTATTTATAAACTTTTTATACATATAAAATTTTAACTTTACCAATTAAATTAATAGAAATGATAATTTATATATAAAATAAATAAGTATTTATAATTTTGTTTTGTAAACTTGTATTGATTTTAATTTTTTTATACTCACTAATTTAAATTATTGTAAATAAAATAAATTTAATTGATTAATTTGCATGTAATAGTAAATAACTGACTAAATAAATGTAAATAATTCATATGTAATACTAAATAAGTATTCATAGTTTTGATTTGTAAACTTGCTTTATTGATATTATTTTTATTAATTGATAAATATTTTTATAGTTACAGACTAAATTAATGTGAATAGAATAATTTGGTATAATGTAAATAAATATATAAACTTAATTAATTTTACAGATTAGTAAAATAATTTTATACTTTCTATTATAGACTAAATTAATACAAATTAATAATAGTTGTTATGAATTTAAATTGTAAATTATATAATAATTATATTATAAAAACCTTTTAAGTTAATATATTAATATATTTTTTATATTACTTTTATATTAATACAATTATATAGGTTTATACAATATAATTATAATATAAAAATTTGTAGTTATATATAAGTTTAACTGAAATAAGGCTACAGAACATATATATGCATGCAATTTTTAATAGTATTCAAATTTAGCTATATCAATATATGTAAAATAAGGTCAAATAGATTGTTACTATTATAATTACTATATATAAAAAAATTTATATTTATTTATTTGCATATTAAAAAAATATTAATATAAGCATTAAAGCAACACAATATATTATAATTTTTGCAAATATATTAAACATAATTTTTTATTTGAAATTTACATCTATATTATTAGATATAATAAAATTCATATTTCAGTATTTTGATCTAAAAATAACTCAAGTAAATTGCTATAACAGTTTAATATAATAGTCATATTATTAAGTAAACCTTTAAAAAAACATAATAATTACAGTTAGTGGATTTTATAACAGATTCATTATAGAACTATACTATATAATTGCTGCATCAAACTTGTATTATAGTAATAAACTTGAGTTATTTCTGAATTTAATATAAATATTTATATAAATACAAAATAAATAAAAAATAATTAGCAAAAACAATAAATAATAAGCTTATCTTGCAATTTTTTTTAATAAAAACCTAAATTATTATATTTTTTATATTAATATTAATATTTAATTTTAGATTCATAACTCTTATATAAAAATTTAAATCTTTTAGTACCAAGTGGTTATTCTTTTCTACAATATTTTTTTAGATTTTTTGTTAAGATGTTATAAAATTTTTATTATTAGTATTGTCAGTTTGTAAACTTTTATTTAAATTTAACTGTTTATTAATATTTTTAATAAATTTTTAAGTAAATTAGTAAGCTGCTATAATTTTAAATTATCCTGCAATATTTTATTAAAAGCTTTCTTATATATGCTATACAATTTTTTATAAACAGTCTTT